TGCTATAATAACACAAGTTGGTATTGTAAATCACAAAAATGACGATTTCATATGTATAAGTTAAAGTACCTCATGGAAGTATGAAAAGATATAAAAATGACCCAAAATATTATTCACATATAAAATGAAATTACATTGTCATAAATTGTAGAAAGACTAAGTTTATGAAATTATATAATTATTAGTTAAAATGATCAAAATTTAAATTTTAATATATAAGGTTGTGTAAAAATGAATGGAAATGTATTAATATATTTTTATATTAAATATAAAAATATAACTCAATTTACTAAGTTATGAATTTTTTTTGTAATAAATAACATGATCGACTTCACGACTTAAGAGTCATTATTTGCGGAATATTGTATAGTATTAATCATATAAATTATAAATATTATGGGAATTGTTGGTTTCACATTGGTTGAAACCTGGAAAATATTATATGAGCAACTGTTATGCTGCCCAAACTTCGTTATGACAGACAATAGGATATTTGGAAATCCATTAAGTCTTTATGAATCCCAAATACTAAAAGAATTCAATCAGATATTATTCCTAAACAATAAAATTATAAATAATCAACAATCTTATAACGGGAAGTTTAAGATTAGGATGCCTAGACATATTGTTAGGATCCATCACACCCATAGGATGTTCTATATGAGTCACGTTTGTTTCTAAAAGCTTTATGAGTTATGATCATTTCCTAAGCTGCATGGGCTATGTTTGTAACCACACTAAGACCACACATCTTAGCAAAAATCCATCTGTATCATAACCGTTAATTTATATGGAACGAGGAATGTCGAGTATAAGTTATGGATCACATACTTATATGGGTTGCCATCTCGCTATCGGTTGCTAGCTACAACCATCGGCTGGCGATTCGAGCATGGGCGTTGGCGTTTCCTTCACTAATTATTTCATCGCGTCATCAAAAACGTGGTGTGGGCTTTCAATACAACCTTTCAGTGTTGGTTCAGAGGTGTTCGTCACTGTTCGGTTATGAACTCATTATAGATCCCGAATTTGCCTTGTTACCGTATAGAATCGATATTGGGTTTATACGGGTTTTTATTCACTTATACTAGTTGAAAGAGACCGTAAGTAGTGAAATAGTTTGTGACCCAAAACGATAAGTGTCAATACCAGAAATTAAGTAAGTCATATAACACTTAATTAATATCATGACACGACTGGACACGGTTTATTAACTTACATTAAATAAGTTATTAAATAAACTCTTTGTTTTTTTACGAAAATACAATATCTATGTGGGAGGAGTTCACCCTACTGGTTAAGTGTCGGTTCCCAAGTTAAGTAAGATAACACTTAATTAATACCACAACATGATTTTACAAAATTATAAATTCGAAACTTATGAGTTTTTCATATAAATTATACAAATGTTGGTACAAGGTTTCAAGAGTAAAGTGGACTATTTTATGTTTTCATAAAGTGTGATATGACTTTACCTTATATAAATTGGTATTTAAAATCCTTTTATGAAGAGCGTTTTGGTCATGGAATCGTAAATATTGATATAAGTCTGATTTACTTATGTGTATTTTATCAAATTTTGTACGTTTCAATTTGAACAAATACCATTTATAAACGAGTCTAAATACATTTTTATAACTCAATTATTTTATATTTTTAACAGAAAAGTATGTATTTATAAAAACTGGGTCACCAGATAAATTTTATAAAACACTTTTGGTTATAAAAATACTTTGTGTCAAAACATGTAGAACTCACCAACAATTTTTGTTGACGTATCTTAATGCATGTATTCTCAGGTTTATTAGAAAGTTGGAAGGATTTGCATAGAAGACTTTCCATTGTTTTACTACACCTTTGTAAACGTTGGTTGTTAGGCGTGTGTCGCGATTTAGCGATAGTTATTTTCAATGTAATTTCTATTTCGGTAATAATAAAAGATTATATTTGTACTATTCAATGTATGTTCAATAACTGTGATCATTGATTTACATCACGCATCTCGACGTTTCCGCCGGCGGCCGGGGGTGTGACGGAAGATGTTAAAATTGTTGGAAATTTTAGTATAAATGTTTATATTTTTATTAACTTTGGACATATATAAATATATACATATGTTGTATATATATAATTAACTCTAAGTGGGTTTGTGTTCTCCGTAAGAGCTTCGAAACGGTATATCATATGTCTAAAGTGGAGTATATGTGAATGAGATATCGATACTCAAAGATGGTTATTTGAGAATAAAAGTTAGCAAGTGAGGTGGATGTGAGAATGAGTCTCAAATAGGTAGAAAGACCACACTCAAGTGAGTTTATAAGCTTAAATGTATGACAAACTTACAACTTGTATATATAGTTTTACTCCAACTCTTACTTGCGCGTACGGGGTGCAAATCTTGGATTTCGTAGGCTAAAAACTTGTGTATGGGCACGAATGCAACTCTGAAAACTCGGGCTTGCGCAACCATTGTTTTTGCTAAACTTTGACATTTTTGGTCCTTGGTTTAAATTTTTGTAACTGATGCATTTATTGGCACAATTATTGCGCATTTATTGGCATTAATTTCTTGCTGTTACATATATCAACATAAAAGAAGACCTCCACTGCCTCATTCGATACACATGAAAATACTCATCTTCTTCTTCCTTTTTCTCTGTAACTTTTTCTGGCAAGTAGTCATATTTGGCAGTACACACTGTTTAGGTTGTTGTACCCTGGGAACAAACAGTGAATCTATTTAAGGGAATCGAGTCTAACTCGAGCCTCGGCCGCTTCGTTTATTACTAACGTTTTCTTGAAGGCTATTCGATTAAAAAAACGGAGCCAAGAACTAACAAAAATGGCTTTCAACTATGTAGAGATTAACTAACGTCATATCATAGACATTATCATGCCAAGATCAAAATGCCGACTTGATAGTCTGTTACACTTGAAAGCCTACCTACTGAATCTTTATTACTTCTTTAAAGATCAAGGCATAAAATACGATGGATTGGTCTCTGATGCAATTTTCATATTTGAAAAGCTTCTGTTGATGATGTTGAGAAGCAAGGCCGACTGAAAAATATAGAGCTCTTGAGGTACAACAAAAAAAGAGATTTTGGAAGACTGTTAGTCACAAAGGGGTGTTCAGAAATAATAGTTTTTATGATCCAAGTACATTATACAACCTTTCATAGTATTAAGTTGTTAAAAAAAATCCACCCAAAAAATGCACAAAAAGTGTTGAAAAAAAGAAAAAACTTGCAGCCAAAAAACTCTAAAAACATCTAAAAATGTCGAAAAGAACAATAAAAAAACTACTGAAAATTGATCCATAAAAACAAGTTAAAAATAACATAAATTTAAGAACATTTATACAAACTTATTTTTTAAAATTGACTAGGTACTTAGTGGACGACTTATGGAAATACAACACCAACTTTGCAAAAGATGGCCATAGAGATTAGCGTTAATATTATTGTAGCCCCATAAGAGCATTAGGTATGGGTTGATGTTATAACACCATTTTACATAACACCTCAACCTTAACACCGTATAGGAAATGATGTTCCTATGTTATAACATGTTAAAAGGTAGAAAGAGAAAGAGAAAGACAGAGAAAAATGGTTTTGATTGGTTTTGAATTTCCGTTTTGATATGTTATAATGCCAACGAGAAGCACCATAACATGCAAGGGGGGTGATGTTCACCATGTTATGAACTATGTAAAAATATTATGTAAGCATATCATTTTTTGTTATTTTAAATTTATAATTTAATCCAAACATTTTTTTTAAATGTCTATCAACTTATAGCTTTTTAACAACACAAAGATAATTCAACACTTTTTAAAAACTTCTTTTTGTCACCGTATATGCCAATAAACACTTTATAAGAAAATGCTTATTTGGTTAAATAAGCAATTCAAAACACTTCCTAAAAACGAAAATATTATGTAAACATATCCTTTTTTGTTATTTTACATATGTAATCTAATCCAAACACTTTTAAAAAAAAAAATGTTTATCAATTTATAGTTTTGTAACAGCACTAAGCGAATTCAAACATTTTTTAAAAAAAACTTCTTTTTGTCACCACATAAGCCAATAAACAATTTAAGAATATGTTTATTTAGTTAAATAAGCAAATCCAAAACATCCCTACAACGAAAATTAGAAACCCTAGTCCTACCTTGATCAGAGTTCGTCTAAAAGATAGGTCAAAGATGATCAAATTCATGTAATGAGTAAGAGATAAGAAGCCAAAATTAGAAACCCTAGTCCCATCTTTATCCTTGTTAGATGTTTCATCTTTATCTGCTTCAAATCATGTTCGATTTCAGAATGTTGATCCTTCATTTAGCTTGAAGCCTGATTGGAGTTTACAATCAATAGGTATGTAAAAAAACTCACAAACCACTTTCTCTGATGTTTTCTCAACTTCCTCCTATCTTATTTGTACTCTATAACTTGCGATAATCCTTCAAGAAATTATATCGGAATCTATTCTAATCATGGCTTTGGTAATTGAAGCGCTTCTTCGTATTTGTTGTTCCAGATCTACTCCAAAAATACCCAACGTAAAGCTTCTTCTTTTTTTTTTTCGAGCGACATATAAAGCTTCTATTTAGGTTATTTTTATATCTACTCCAACATTTATTTGTTCGATATTTGTGTTAAGCCCCAAACTAATCCTAAAGTGCTTTTAGTTGATTTGATTTATTAGAGTTTTTGTCTTCTTTTAGGATTTAGGGGTAGTTTGGTCTTTTTAGGAGTTATGGTTGTTATTGGTTGTTTTGTTTGTGGGAGCACTGATTGTCCCAGGTCTGTTTTGGGACCACTCCCCTGAGTCTTGTTTTCTATTTATTTGCTTCTTGAGGTTTTTGTTCAGCAGCTAAGAATTGATTTGTAAAGAACTTTGTTCTTCTTTTGGAGAGTCCATTCCTCTCGAATGAATGGGAATTCTATCCTAATTTTCTGGTATTATTGAGTGTTTGTTGCTTGGAATCTGTTAGAATGTATGGGGTATATGATAGATTCAACAAGGATCTATCAAATGGTATCAGAGCTGTTGATGCTGGGGAGGAAATAACAGCAATGAGGATAATCAAAACAGATCTGCTAGAGATCGTGAAGCTAATGGAGATGCATCGTCAGAACCAGATAAAGAGAGAAGAAGAGACAGAAGCTAAAACAGAAAAAATGAAAAAATATTACTACTCAGAGGAAGGAATGGAGGCTGAGAAGGCTAAGTGGAGACAGATTTATTACTCAAGCTTAAAGGAGAAGGAGAAAGTAGACCATGAGGAGGAAGAAGCATCCTTCAAAGTTTATGAGTCAGAATCAGAATGCAAGACCATACCACCGTCATCACTGTCGGAATTTGAAGCAACTAGCGGAGGAATGACAGTCCACGAGGAGGAAGATGAAGTATCATCGGAATTTTCTGAGTTGGAATCGGAATCCGAATCAAAACTGCAACTCCCACCACCCATGTTGCCGCCGTCACAACCAACACCGCCGCCGACTACACCACCATTATCGTCGCCGTCTCTACCACGGCTACCGTCCCCTCCACCTTTAGAGTCCGAGAACAGAAAAGAAGCTACAATTCTGATCCCTGCAAACCCAAATCAGAATAATGGAAAGATGGAGGTGCACATGTTCGATGGCTATAGACCGCCGCCGCCGACGCCACCACCACCACTGTCGGGAATTCTATCAAAAGGGAAAAGAACGATGGATTCAATGCCGGACCAGGTGGGAACGAACCAGTTCTGCGATGGGTGTTTTCACAAGACAGAATGCGAATTGCGTTACTGGGAGATAACGGCTCCGTTAGTCGATGGACGGAAGGAAGAGATTCTAGGGTTTTGCAAAAATGAGCTTAAAAGAGACAAGTGGGCTGCGATCAACTTCATGGGCTCACCAAATGCTGAACATATTATGGACTTAATGGGTAACGTTTTTAATTTAAGCCCAAATTTAATTGTATCAGCTATGACTTTGACTACGAAAGTCAAACAAAGATCAGACCCACGTTATTTTCACGTCACACTAACCAAATTAACCAGACAATTGTTGCCGATTCCTCAATCCTACACCTTTGTTTCTCTTCTGCCGATCGAACCTCAATCGGCCACCTTTTACTCAACCACGAAACCCACGGCTTTGAGTTTGGAGGTGTTGGCTTATCCTAATATCGCCTTTAAAACCCTAGGGTTCAATATCGGATCCCTGTCATCCACAACATCCTCTAAACCCATCAAGAACTTTAAGGGAGAACATGATAAAAACGAGTTTTTGAGCAATCTTGTCGATTCACCTGGGCACGTTGACTTTTCTACTGAGATCACTGTGGTCTTATGTATCACAAACGGTGTTTTAGCTAGTGTTGATTGCGGCAAAGATGTTGGTACCGTAGAAAAAGCTATCAGTTGCCAAAACTTTGGAGAAATAATTCATCTTTTCCTGACTGTTAACAAAAGGGACAAGTATTTCTCTGAACATCAGGTGAAAGAAGAAGAATCATACCAAACACTTCAAAGGATTACTGAAGATTCTAATGTCAGCTGGTCCAAACATCAGGGCCCCCTCCTGGGTGATATCATGGTTCCCCAAGAAAAAGGTAATGTTGCTTTATCTACTGGGCTTCACGGTTGGGTTTTTACTCTAACCGATTTTGCGAAAACCTACGACTCTAAATTTGGTATTTACAAATCAAAGAAGAACATTCGTCAGGATTATCAACGGGGGCCTATATTGACCAAACTTAATGATGATTTGAAGTCTGACGAGAAAACCTTGTATGCGAGAGGTGTTGCTAGAACTGTCATTTGGTGGGGGAGAAACAAGAAATAGTTGGAGATGCAATTATCATCTACAACAAACAAAAGAAATCCCTTATAATTCATGGGGTGAGGGTTGATGAGTATTCATCAACTGAAGGAGCACCAGCTGACCCCTCAGTTAGAAATTTAGATGCTCTTGATCTTGCGGTAACAGATGAATCATTTCTAGCATTTGAACCATGTTGTTGGTTTCTGATAGAGCAGGGGAATTGGTGTATGCTTGCTAAAATCAAAATACAGGAGGATTTGAACAACATTGAGAAGAGCTTGCAGGAAGCATACACAGAGCTGGTGGAGAACCACGATATCTCAAAGAGACACTACCAAGATGATGTTGAACAATACATGTGGAATTCTCAAGCAAGTGATTCCTTCACGAATACCCATGGTATTGACGAAAACTGTGGAAAAAACACAAATATCACCCTCTTCCTCAAGGGCTACCAGCTAGAGTATCGTGAGAAGCACAGTTTTAAGGAATTAATCAAGAAGCAGTCCGATTTCATGAGTTACACAATATCCATATGGGTTGAGAAGATGATCAAGGAAGAGATCTCTAACAAGGAGAATAGAATGGTTCAATATTTCCTACATGTTGTCTCCCTATTTTTCTCTTCATACGAACTTGATCTGAAGTCTACTATTGATATTAGAGATTTTTATGATGGCAAAAACAAGAATATTGGTATTACAATTGGGGTATTAAAGGAAACGGCTGTAGCCATGCAAGCTTGTGGGTTATGTGTTCTGATTACAAAGAGTGTTAATGTCCCACATTTGGAAAAGCATCTGGGATTTCTGATTTGGTATGTGGGGTATTTCCATGAAGATACACTAAGGGTTGCTAATACGGCTGTTAAGATGATGACATGGGCTGCAAAGCAAAGAAATGTGCGGGTTAATGATTATGGTGGTACGGAGAACACGATAAAAAGAACCGAAGATAGGCTAAAGCTGAGAGAGACAGATGATGAACAGCAGCAGCAGGAGTCTCTCAGGAAGAACCTTGATGGAATTTCTGTCTCTTTTCTTGGGCCACTGGTGCTGTACTTACACGGTTGGTTGCTTTGGGTTTACGTCTCTTTTTTGCCGCTACACGTGATCAAGATGACAAGAGTGACTCATTCTTTTCTTCACCTTGAGGACAAGGTGAAAGTTTGGGCCGCCGGTATTGTTAAGCCCCAAACTAATCCTAAAGTGCTTTTAGTTGATTTGATTTATTAGAGTTTTTGTCATATTTTAGGATTTAGGGGTAGTTTGGTCTTTTTAGGAGTTATGGTTGTTATTGGTTTTTTTGTTTGTGGGAGCACTGATTGTCCCAGGTCTGTTTTGGGACCACTCCCCTAAGTCTTGTTTTCTATTTATTTGCTTCTTGAGGTTTTTGTTCGGTAGCTAAGAATTCATTTGTAAAGAACTTTGTTCTTCTTTTGGAGAGTCCATTCCTCTCGAATGAATGAGAATTTTATCCTAATTTTCTGGTATTATTGAGTGTTTGTTGCTTGGAATCTGTTAGAATGTCTGGGGTATATGGATTCAACAAGGATCTATCAATTTGCTCCAAATGAATAGTTTTCTCGTATTTCTTGTTTGATTTTGAATTTGTGGTGGTGGTAGAGATGAATGGTGGTGGTAGGAGGTATGTGACTTTGGAGGTTGGTGGTGGGAGGTGAATGTGTTCTTGTACTTAAATGAAGTGCTTAAATGAAGGTGATTTCAAATTTATAACAATAATGAATTAAGATTACGAAAAAAGTATAAATAAATGGGCAAAAGCCACATGGACTCCATGTCAGCGCTGCATTGCCACATCGCCGCATTGCCACATGGCCATGTTCTCATAAGTAATGACATGCCATGATTAACCCCTTTACATTCAGTAAAATAACTTTTTTGACATTGATTTTTATAGTTTACAGACTTACACTACCCAAAAAAAATATCAATGACTAAATGAGGACAACACCAATAGTTTATGTTACTACATTAACATTAACCCTAAATATTATTTCATTGACTACTAGTTCCACGAGTTGTAAAAGAAATTTGAGTGCTTTTAAAGGGAGAAGTAATTATGTGCTAAAAAGTAAAAAAGTTAAATTATTAATAACAAGTCAAAGATTGCAGGAACTTGTACACGTTCAACTAATGCCAAACTCATTAACAAGTGGGCAATGAAGAATCAAAATACAGATGTCTCTTGATGCTAGCAAGGCACAATCATGGATTATTACTCCATGAGGATGATTTTGTTTCAGAAGAAGAACAAGTGGAAGATTTTGAATTCAACTCCAGTGTTACTTTTACATCTTATATTTTTCCATTACCATTCTATTTCTAGTATCAATGATTCCTTAAGGGACACTTAGGCTAAACGGAGTGGAGTTGCCAAATGAAGTCGCTAAGCTCGCTAAGGGCATAAGAACACCGCCCCCTAGCACTCGCTAGGGGACTCCTTAGATGAAGCTCGTTACGGGCTTGGCGAGAGGAGAGAGGGAAGGATGCTTGAATGTGATTGGCTGCTTTACCAATCAATATGCAAAATCACCAGATTCAACAATCAATCACAAAAATAAGGATGCAAAATCAAAAATGATATGCTTGGAGCTTCAATCGATCAGATTGAGAGTAAACAAAAAAAAAATCGGTATTTGCAGAGAAAATCGCCTGAGACTAAGGAAAAATCCAACTTGTAATCTATCATTCACATTTACCTGAAGCGGCGATGACAGGGGAAAAATCAACAGAGACGAGGAACGAGTGGAGATGGCGAGAGAGTATTAACAACAAGGAACGAATGTTGGGGTTTTCTTTTGCGTCGGGATCGAAGGCTTCAGTGTTTTTCCCCAAACAAGAAACAGTTTAGGGCTTTGCTTTTTTTTTTTGAGTAAATTATACAAGTTGGAGATCGGAACATAAAAGTTATTGAAAAAAGGGAAAATGACTTAGGAGGGTAACTACCTCTTATCCGTGTTCACATATTGGCAACTTCTTCTTTTTTGTACATAAGAAAGCAACTAACTTGTTTTAACTGTTTAAGTTACACCAATATTACCGGCTAATACATGTTTTAACCGGTAACTCAAAGGGAAAATGACTTAGGAGGGTAACTACCTCTTATTCGTGTTCACATATTGGCAACTTCTTCTTTTTTGTACATAAGAAAGCAACTAACTTGTTTTAACTGTGTAACATCCCAAAAATCATGACAAAAAATTTCGTTTTTAATTTAATACTAAAACCATAATTGTCAAACCATTAATTTAATACTCCGGCATCGGGCCCCGCCCGACATCAGGCCCCGCCTGGCATCGATCCCCGCTCGGTATATAGATCTGTCTCGCTTAGGCCCCGCCTGTCTCCGGGCCCCGCCCGCTAAACACATACAATCATATAACATCCTAACACATAAAGAAACATACTCTACTGTATCCTTGTCCTAAGAAACATACTCTGCTAATAATGAGATACGAAACCTCATCACTGTGTGAATGAGTCTAAGGCCACAATGTCAGCCCATGTAGTCTATGAGTAGGAAGACCCGGGGGGTTAGCCTTAGGCATTGTATGTTAGTATGTTATTCCGGACCAAGGTTCGATGTCGGGCGGGTGCCCGAGGAATGTTTGCATGTTAGATTATACTTATTGTCTGTGTGATACTTGTATGTGCCTGGTAGGGAGGTGAGTGTGGGCGAAGTCCCGTATCTCATCACTAGCTGAGTACGGACGAGGTTCCGTATCTCATTATTAGCAGAGTATGTTTCTTAGGACAGGGATACAGTAGAGTATGTTTCTTTATGTGTTAGCATGTTATATGATTGTATGTGTTTTGTGGGCGGGGCCCGGAGACAGACGGGGCCTAAGAGAGACAGATATGTATACCGAGCAGGGCTTGATGCCAGGCGGGGCCTGATGCCGGGCTGGGCCCGATGCCAGAGTATTAAATTAATGGTTTCACAATTATGGTTTTAGTATTAAATTAAAAACGATACTTTTGGTCATGATTTTTGGGATGTTACACATTTAAAACAAGTTAGTTGTTTTTTTATGTACAAAAAAGAAGAAGTTGCCAATATGTGAACACAGATAAGAGGTAGTTACCCTCCTAAGTCATTTTCCCTTTGAGTTACCGGTTAAAACAGGTATTAGCCGGTAATATTGGTGTAATTTAAACAGTTAAAACAAGTTAGTTGTTTTCTTATGTACAAAAAAAAGAAGTTGCCAATATGTGAACACGGATAAGAGGTAGCTAACAAATATATTTAGATAGGGGTATACTCGTCATCCCCCTTCGTAAAGATATGTCTTTATTTTTTTTAGTTGAAACAATTTCAGTAAAATTTGAAATATTATAAAAAAATTTATTTTTAATTGTTGTGTTTTACAAAAATATAATTTAATTAAATTAAAAAAAATGCTAGGAGTGTTACCACTCCTTATGAAATGTTAAGAATTGAGTGTTAAGACAAAAAAAAATGACATGATATTTAAAAAATGATGTGGCAAGGTGCAAAGAGTGTCACCACTCCCTCTGGCCTTAGTCACTTACATCAACAATTTCACAAAAAATAACAATTCAATCTTAACATGTATAGAAACGTGTCATCTACCTATGTATAACAACAGTAGGAAACTTGAACTTATCTGAAACAAAAGGAATCGCCTTAGGTCTCTCAACAAGATCCTGATACAAATCATATTCCGCTTCATAATCATGCAAATGAAGCTCCCCTTTTTGATTAGTATGATAATGATGCTTAGCCGATTCAGATTTCCCAAATCCAAAAATACTAACTTTTTCACAGATCCCCACAGCTAACATAACAGCTTGCATACCTGAAGAAGAATGGAAGTTAGATCCATCGTGAGAATCAGCCCATGTCTCTAATGGCTTCCCAGTTTCTTTCACAAACCTTGAAGCTGAATAATACTTCACGATTCTTGCACATAAGATGTCAAATCGTGGGTCTGTGATCATTAATGGTGATTTGTGGGAGGAGTTACAGACAACGTAATCAAGAAAATGGATCATCTGACACATGTACATCATGATCGGGACTTTTTCTCCATATGGGTGACAAAAACAACCTTCTCTTCGAGCACATAAGTGCAGGATGTTGCTGTTGACGAAAGAAAGACTGGTTTTGGAACCTACATTGCGTTCGAATCCACCTGTTCTTGCGTTGTTTAATCGGATGACAAAATCATGACTATCGATTAAGCTACCAAGATCGGATTTCAGCAAGATCCCACTGTTACCCACTACAGCACAAGTTTTGTACTTCAATCCTGACTTCCGAGCAGTTGCATTTACACCGGTGTTGAGAATCTTTACTGTATTTACCATATCTGACATTACATCAGTCTGGAAACGGCGGTTGCGCCACCAGGTTTGCAAATATCGCCGGAAATCCAACCAGAGCCTGTAAAACTCCGGTGACCGGAGAAGTACAGGGACACCCCTTGCAGACCTAGCTCGAATATCTATACGGTGGCGGCCTGACCATAGAAACGAACGTTGGCGACTACCATCCATGGTTCGGAAATTACCGTCCACCAACTGTTCGACATCTTGTCTCAATGAATCTTCAGCTAGGTCGATCATAGCAAACCTTAACAATGTCTCATTAAAGACCGGTGCAGGCTTCTGAGCTTCCCCGACGTAGTTCCGGGAGAAGAATTCCCCACCACCGCCGCCGCTGGAAACCATGATTCGAAAGCAGAGAGTGGCGGTGGCGGCAATGAGAAACACAGCGCTGAATATCGGACGCACTGACGCCTTCATCATTAACCGTTAACCCTCTGTTTCCCTCTTAGTCAATGATGAATTCACACAGATCTGGAGCGGAAGAAGCTCTAATGGCGGTCATATCTTGTAACAAATCGACTTTAAGTAAATCATACCTCTCTTATTTCTCTTCATTGTTTCAAGAATCGCCAAATTGCACAACATTCACCAACCCACATACGGATGATTGAGATTGGATCGGAGAATTCGAAGATTTGGAGAATCTAGCAAGTGGGAAATGAAGGTAGAAGATGTAGCAGAAATAGGGGGCAAAAACCAGGCGATATGAAGTAGATAGATCATCAAAGGTGTGTTTTTACCTCAATATTTTAGTTGGGGATTTGGGGTTAAAGGGTGTGATTTGTGAACTGTGATTAGCTGCTTAATTGTCACTATCTTTACATTATTTTTTCTTGGAAAGATTGATTGTCATTTGTCAGAATTGCAATAGAGAAAGTGACGGAGGAGATTAAAACAACGTGCATCAACACATGTTGCCTTAAAATATGGATAATTATAGTTATTGTAAGTAATTCATAAATAAATTGACCTGATCACATTATGTGAAAATAAAAAGATTCAAAATATTGTATTTACACGGGTCATTAATTTACATGGAGTTATAATTATGGTTAAGATTTCTTGTTTTACCATAAAAGTTGGTAATTAATATCTTTTGTGATATAAAAAAAGTTTTGGTACACTACTACATTATGAGGGATTTGATGGTAACATTAAACGTTTAAAACGTGTAAAGCACTAAATGATACAAAAATATCACCCAAAATGTCATTGTGACCATTTTGATAAAATCATATTCCAATATAATTTCAGATATGCTCCATATGATAGTGTTTACGGATCTAAATCAACCAAATTCAATAAGCAAATTACAAATAACATCATACTCTTTTTCAGCTGTAGAGTTGTTTGTAAACATAAGGATACACTCTTGGTGTAGAGCATAACATGTGTGGTGCTATTACTCGTAATTGTCGTTAATATAGTAATAGATTTGAACGAATGCATCATCTTTTATACCCTTGATCATCCTTTTCAATTGATTATAACTTATAATATGTATCTATCTGACCTTCATAATCTTTTAGGTTTTGTACTTCAATTTTTTTCTTCGTTTTGGATTGATTGGTGTTGGTTTCAAAGTTGGTTGTGCTAGTTGTTGTTATGGCGTACGCATCTGACTAAGTCATCCCTCAACAACGAGATCACATAGAAAACAAAATATAACAAGTAACTAAATAATATGAATCGATGGAAAGACTGTAGTTATGTTCGGTAAAACTAACTATTAGCTAAGAAACAACAGGGACTATTTATGTAAATTTGTCTTTACTTATTTTATTATAATTATTTATATTACTAATTAATCAAATGGATCATACCTAATCATCCCTATCGCCTACACCTCTAACCTTGACCCCATCATTCAAGCTCCCACATCTTATTTTTCTTACTGTCTATTAACAGTTCCGACGAGACCAGATTGTCGACGAACACCACACGCCACCACCATTTCTGTCTTGAAGCCACCAACATTATCGCCCTGAAGTCACCGTCAAGCCACTATCATCTCCTCCTTAAAGCCACCACCACTAGATCTAGATATGTTGCCATCGTCACCTTGAGCCACCCCACCCCAATGCCATGAAACCATCACCACCAGATCCGCTATGTTGCCATCACCTCGGCCTGAAGCCACCACCGCCATAATGCCCTAAAGTCATTAACATTGCCATCAACTACCACCATAATGCCTTAAAGTCACCACCACTTCCGTTAAAAGTAGATATGGCCACACGGAGGAGGAAGACGGAGTAGAGTGAAGACGAAGTATAGAGAATCGTTGTTGTCCTAAACCCTTTACAAAAGCGATGATGGGAGGGACGATGGTTTCCAGCGGGAGAAAGGAGGAGTAGATGGTGGTCAATGGGTTTTCATTGGGTTACAGAGTCTATCTGATGAATTTGACAGTTCTCTCTACTTCATCGGCGGCGGTGGGCGGCAATCCGACAGTGGTGTGCTGAGGTCCATAGGTTTAGGGTCCTGTCATCTTTAACTTTCAAATAATATGAAATAGTAAGAGATAAGATGATAACCGAGAGGACAAGATGAATTAGGTGGGATTGACAGTATGTCCCGCATCTCCTAATTATTTAATTTATTTTATATAATTAATAAATAATAAAAAATTGAAGAAGAAAATACAAATGGCAATATATTTTTTTCATCTCAACGAGGGACGAAAGACGTAACAAAATCATAACTTAAGGACGGTGCGAATATAAAAAAGAATTTAGGGACCAAACACGTAACCAAACCATGGGGTTGATTTCAATAACTTACTCATAGTGATATTTTATTTTAATATATTTTTTAGACAAAATTACAGAAATTGTCCCTTTGGTTCACAACTTCTTTAATCCTTCCTATTTTTTTGAAGAACATGGTCCTTATGGGTTCTAAAACTTGCATGGACTCTAAAACTTGCATAGATGGTCCTTGTACCGTGAACCACATGAAATGACTTTTTTACCCTTTTTAATTTCTTTTATTTTTTTTTATTAAACATCCTACCCTACCCTACCCTATTAGTACCCTTTACCTCCACTTCCCTCTCCGGATGATCACGAACCCGAACAAGACTTGTCACCACCACCTCTCTTCTCCGTCTCTTCTACCACACAACCCTCCATCAAAAACCCATCCCGAAAAATTAATGTGTATCTTCGCTCTTCTTGTTCCTGCCATCAGCAACAATGATCAAATTTATTTGCGTCTGTCAAAGTTTCTCAAATGATCAATGACACCTGCAATATTTGTAGAAAAGAGAAGAACAAGCATTCTGATACTGCAAGTACCGACCTTGTGCAAGTATCATCCTGATTAATTTCTCACTCATTTGATTTTTTTATTGTATATCACAATTAATAACGTTCCTCGATGTTGATTCTTTAGTTTTACAAGTTAACGCCAAACAGGAGGAGCATATTGAACTGGATTTTTTTTTTCTTTGTAAATTTTGGCCACCATGACCAAAAGAAGGTGAAAATGAAGAAGTTGAAAGGTTCATGCATTCAAGAATTTCAGCATTGCAACATATTGAAGAAAAGCAAGAAGAATAACTCCACAAAAGAGAAGCACATGGTTAATGAAAACACTTTACTATAACTATTAAACCTACCATTAAAAGATAATCATAATTCAACTTTTGCAATTCGACCATAAATCCACCATTAAACCCACATACAAATCGATACAACCAAGACTAGCTATTAATTTCCATTTAATCCCCTCTAAATTTCATGTAGAGATGATGATGCGATTCATCTTCTTCTTAGAGACGTTGATGTGTGTGTGGTTTTATGGATGATACTACCAAGTAACTCCAATGGATGGTGTGGTTAGAATCAATAAATCTTTTGACGATACATGCAAGGGTTTTGATGAAACCCAATAAATTAAATTTGCATATATTCTTCCTGTTGAAGTGATGTTTCGAGAAAGGATTTCAAAAATAACCACACCTAATGCCGAAAGGATATGGACAAAGGTGGCGACAGTGGATGAGTCTCCTGTCGAAGTGATGTTTTGAGATAGAGGAGGAGAGGGGGAAATTGACATGCTTAATGTCTTGTTTAGAGCGAGTATGGGAACCAGATATGAACCAGTGATGAAGACAAAAGTGGGAGGAAAGAGGGAGGCAATCGCGTAGTGTTTAATTTTTTTTTTTTTTTTTTAAAACAGCAAATCTATACTACTCCTAAATTATACCTAATACCATATATGTCTACAATGAGACTTGAACCCTCAACCTCTGGTAGGGGTGAGCGCGGTGCGGTTCGGTGCAGTATAGCCAAAACCTCACCACTAACCGCAAATGCGGTTAATCCATTTTCAAAACCGCTTGGTGCGGTTATTTTTGTGGTGCGGTTAGACGGTTATTTTTGCGGTGCGGTTTTGTTTTTTTTGCGTTGCGGTTATTAACCGCATGGATTTGGTGTAGTTATTTTGTGTGGTTTTTAACCATAGTTTAGAGCTCAAACGGTTTTAAGAGTTCAAACATATTACTTGTAATAATAAAAAAAATCATAAGGTATAAGACAATTAACTTAAATCACAAACAACTAATATCTTAAAACATCAAATCAATAATAATTAACAATAAATATCTTAAAATTGTCAAATTTCACCACTTTTCAAAGTTAAATATAACAAAAAAAAAACAACACTTTTGTTTTTTAATATTTTATCTTTCTTTCATCCATGAAACTTGTCTTATTTTTAATATTTAATATATTAATAATTAATAAAAAAAATTATATAATATATGCGGTGCGGTGCGGTTTTTTTGCGGTTTTTGAAAAGTAATAACCGCACCGCACCGCAAATTTGCGGTTTTTGAAAAACAGAAAACCTCACCATCGGTTTTTATTGCGGTTGAGGTTAATTTTAGTTGCGGTGCGGTTTTTGCTCACCCCTAGGAGGGAGGGCAACACCCGGTACAGCTGAGCTACAACGGGTGGGGGTTTATTTTATTTTCCTTTTTTATTCATTGAAACCAGTTTAGAAAAATTATATAGGAAAATAAAAAGAGTACATTTGTCATTTTAGTGGCTGAGCGACTAACCATGTCAGTTTTAGAAACCACATGGACTATGTTTTACAAAATAGCAGTGATTAAAGTTGTGACTTTTAATAAACTACGGGACCATTTATATAATTTTGTCTACTTTTTATAATCATTTGTTTTAGATTATATTGTAAGTAATTAATAAAAACTAGAAAAGATTCCCCGGCGTTGCCGGGGTCGGAAGGTATTGCTTTGTAAAGTAAAGTAGCATGTTGGTTGCTTTTTGTCCGTTAATGTGAGGGTAATTTGGTCTTTTTAGGTAGTAGGGACTGAATTTGTCACCATGGGTAAACCATATGGACCATTTATGTAATTTTGGCGGTGGTGGTGGTGGTGGTGGTGGCAGATG